CAAGCAAGCAAGCATGCAGCAGCAGCTCCGCTGTGGCACGGGGCTAAACGTCTCTCTCTGACAGGTACGCCATTCTTGATGATTGCTGTACATCTGCGACAGTGGTAGTCACAACAGTCGTGAGTGCAGGACAAGTACGCACAGCAGCACCAGCTGCAAACAGCGATTGAGCAGCACACGAGACAGCTGCAATCAACGAGCACACCTACCATCGTCCGCTACAAATTTACGAGTATAAAGAAGTCGAGGTAGCCGCACCCATCTTCATCGTATGCACCACGATCATCTATCTCACTGAAGCTGCGCACGACTAGACAGCTGAAAGGCACCACTTTCAGCACGTTAAGAAGCCATCGCACTCATCCTCACAAGTCACAATGTCAGAGGTGAGCGAGAGCGTGCATCTGTCAATGAGGCGAGCGATGCAAAGGGGGCAGCCGAGTCGAGCACGCCCAGACGAAGAGCGAGGCGATCGACTGTCTCCTCTCAGTGTGCTTACGCTAATGACCCCTGACCACTTCAACAGCACGAGTACAGATTCAATGTCGCCATGTCTTGCGGAGGCTGCAGCGGGGCGGTCACTCGAGTACTCTCCAAGCTTGAAGGTGCGTGGCACAGGTAGGATCGCAGGTGGCTGCGTGTGTGCTGTGCAAGGACCGAAGGCCCTGAGGAAAGGCTGTTCTGGGCAGACTACTTGCTACGCCCAAAAAAAGTCCTCCAGAATCTGGCGTGGTATGCCCATTGAGCGCAAGATCGTTCTATGCGACATGCGATTCAAGCATTAAGCGGGCTGCCCTGGCGATGCATCCTCGTTTCGTGCCATTCGCAAGCCCAAGACTGACGTCGCGACATCTCTCGCATGCATGAATGCCACAGGCGTCTCCTCTTTTGATGTATCCTTGGAGACTCAGACTGTAGTGGTCAAGGGTACTGCTCCTTACGACACCGTTTTGGAAAAGATCAAAAAGACGGGCAAGGAGGTCAGAGAGGGTCAAGTGGTAGCATAGGCTTCGTGCGGATCTCGCAATCACTAGCCAGCAACGCTCGCCTACGAGTAGCAACGTCGCAGATTTGCTAGGAAGGCGTTCATGAATGCGAGGTCTCCTGCGCTCGCAGCGAGCACAGAGTTGCCTTGTTCAACGTCCAGCACAAGTGACACCGCTCCTTGACTCGTTTCCGATCCGAAACCTTCAAAACACATACATTTCACGGAAGTGCCGTGAGCGACGCTGGGTGCTAGTCCAAGGCACGGAGGGTGTGGTCACATACGAAGGTGCGTGAAACAAATTGTACGGAATTCTCCACGTAGCGATCGGAGCGGGCAAGCAAGTCGGAACGCTTGACAATATGCGGACGATGCAGCAGCCCCAACGAGCGTCTACTCGTCCTCCAAAAAGCCTGGAAAGCTTCCTGGCAAGTCTCGCGGACGTCTGTGGTAATAGACGCCTTCCGCGGCTTCGTCCTCTTCATCTTCGACATCATCTTCGTCCTGATCAGGTTCCAACGCTTCAGCTTCCCCATCGAGAACTCTTATTGGAGCGCCTCGAGGTGTCGACCGCGATCGCGGGCCATCTTCATCTTCCTCTTCTCTCACGCTGTGGTCCAGCAGGGAGGAGTCGGCTGTAGTGCCACGTTTCTGCGCCTTGCGTCGGGACGGCGCGGTAGTCTCTGGCCCGCCCAGAGCTTCTCCGAGCGCTGCGCCTGCGCTGGACCCTCTAGGTCCTTGCTGAACACCTCCCCACACGCCTGCAGATTCGTCAGCCGATTGCGAGCCAACGCTCTTCTTTGCCGGACCGAGACTGCTTGACCGCTGAGGCGCGTTGGAACGTGACATGCTTGAGAGAACGCTTCCGGACCTGAGAAGCGATGAGACGCCAGACCTTCTCAAGAGGGAAGACTTGCGTCGGCGGAGGGAGAGCACCACCACGTCAGAGGAAGTGCTGCTCTTGCGCGTTCTTTCGACTGCGCTTCCTTGACTGGTGTCTCCGCCAACAGCTGCTTCCTCCGCGCCTGCTTGGTCGTCGAGCGTCGCTTGTGCCTTGTTCGCAAAGTCTTCCGAGGGTATTGGTAGCCATGGCTCTGGCAGCTGACCTGTGAGCGCGGGATGACCGTATCTCCTTCGACCGGTGTCGAGAGTACCATTGTAGTACCCGGTTGCTGGAGGCTCTCTGTAATCAGTGTGCGCATCGCGTTGGGCAACAAATAGGGTTTCATCCTTTGCGCTGTACCGCTTGCGAGCCAAAGCAGTGTGTTCAGCGTCCGGCGTGGTCCCAAGACGCAGCGCCAGTAGCGGGTTAACGTCTTCATGGCGCGGCGTGATGCTGGACAATGATCTCCCTTGCGACGCTGCGGCTGCGACGGCCGCCTCTTGACGAGTGACAGCCGTGATGCTGGAGAGGCTCACATATTCGCTGAGCGGCTGGAGCGTCTTGTTGAGGTGTCTGCCGTACCACGCAGTCACAACAAACAGTGGCAAGCACAAGAGGGAGAGGAAGACTTGCTTCCTGAAGGAGAACAAGCCAATCTGAAAGACCTGATAAAGCAATAGGGCCCACACGCATCGAGTGGATGTCAAGAGCCAAGCTTGTCCCTTGCTCTCGTATGCCTTGTAAAAGACGAAGAGCAGCTTGTACTTGAAGACCACGTATCCGATCCCGAAGTAGATCGCACCAAAAACGGTGACCAAAGGCGAGACGATGCTGTAGACGACGCCAAGCGTCTAGTGCGGGTCCCAGACGCATGAGCGCGGGAAGGGTGCAAGTCTCTTGACTAAGCATCTTGATACTCACGAAGACAATGATTGCAGCAGGATACACGCTGCCAGCGTATAGCTGCGGAGGTGCATTCAGCTCAGCGTGTTCGCGCGGCGTGCGAGCGAAAAGTCGACCCCAAGCCCTGGACAGGACCAACGGCAGTTGCAGCAACTGCAATGGCATGACTGCGAGGGACTGCAGGACGACGTATGACAAGCTGAAGAAGCGTGCGCCAGGTAGAGATTGCGCTAACTTGTCCAACACCTTGGCTGGACTCGTAGCCAGGTCTTGCAGTACACTCCAGAGCGTGGTGGTGACCAAGAAGATGAAGATGACGGAAATTACCAGAAAGAGATCTAGATTGCGAGGGTAGTAGCATCGTTCAGCGCGGATGGAGGATTATGTGAGAGAAGACGAGATGCTTGACTTACGATACCGCTTGAGAACGCTGAGCTCGACCAGGCTCTTTGCGCGTAGACCCTGAAGGTAGGCAGTCCATTCCAACACCATAGGCAGTAGGGCGTTGAAAGAGATCAAGACCAACGAGGGTAGAGAGGTGGAGACGAGGGCTTTGAGACGATCGCTGCGTTCGAGGATTCTCCAGAGCCAAGGCAAGTACTTCTCGATAGCCGCAGGGCTGAGCAAAGATGCCAAGAATGCCAAAGGTGGAATGTAGAAGATGAAGAGCGTGAAGGTGAAGGCCGAGACAAGCAATTGGCGCAGGCGGCGTTCGAGAGGCGCCAAGGAGACGTTGGACCAGATGAGGTCCCTAGGCTCGACGGCGAGACTGGATTTGCAATAGAAGGGTAGAGGATAGTGTACTGTTTGTGCGGCGATTTGCTGCGGCAGGAAAGCAAAGGCAAAAGAGCGTCAGCATATCTGCAAAGTCGTCATAGAGACGTGGACTCGACATCTCGTCCGTCGAACCGCATGCTCACTGCGCTCGCGGCGTCTACAAAGGTGACATAGCCGGTATTAGCGCTTGGCCTGTCCTGTTCTCGCATGCTTCTGACGGCAGAGTCGAGCGCGAAGAATTCACACGCAAGATGGTCCAAGAGGTCCACTTTGCGACCCATTCCGAGCCACCCAAGTCTTTTGGTGGGTCGTGCCCGGCCAGCGGGATGCTTGATGCTGGCCAGAGCATCGGGCATGTCCAAAGTCTGCTGCTGCTGAGTGCTGCTCAAGAGTGGCGCCCTTTCCGTATCGATGTCAGCGGCACTGGTAGGGTTGCGACCATTGGCGGACGTCGCGCTCTGCACCGCTGCAAACTGCTCCGCCCTGGATTGCAATGCTTGAGCGATCTTGTCTGGATCGTAGCCTTCAGCGCGGGTTGGATTGCCAAGCCATTTGACCCAAGCTCCTTCCAGCTCGTACAGTTTGTTGGCTCTTCTGGCAAGCATTCCGCTCAGCCCACCAACCTGCCTGCCTACAGCCGTGCTCTCGACTTGCAGACCGCAGTTCTCCCAGTACTCCGCCAGCTTGCGCTCGTCTCGCAGGTGCTGCGGCAAGTATCGCATCTCGATCGTGCGTGCAGGAATCGAAGGGAGCAGATCAAGCGCGTACAGCTGGCGATTACGTACGAACTTGAGTCCGCCTTTCCAAAGGGCTCGCAAGACGAGTGCGGTGGTGAGGTAAAGGGTGAGAAGGTGGGTCAAGTGCAGCGCCGACACATCCGGAGGTGACCAAGGGAAAGCCGGCTGTCCCGGGCCTGGCAGTGGCATCTTGTCGTCACCCACTCGTGCGAAGGTGAGCTTGCGTCCTCCGTCGTTTGGTGGATCGCGCCGTCTGTCATCCTCGGATGGCGGCACGCCATCGATGGTACCGTTGTAGTGCCAGTGCACGGGCATAAGCACGCCGCAAGTCCAAATGCTCAGGAAAGCAAAGATCCAAAAGCCCATTTTGAAAAAGGAGAGCAATACAGCAGCGTCTAGTCCAACGATGTGCAGAATGCTCGATTCTGGCGTCGCAATGGTTGGCCGAATCCAGCTGAACACGCCATCGTCGATGCCTTGGGCGTGCGGCGTGAAGCCCTTCAACTTGGTGCGGGGTGCAAAGACGCTGGAGTACTTGCGTCTGATGAGGGAGAAGAGCAGGAACGATCCGATGCCGATGAAGAGCGAGAGTGTGAGCTGCTGCTGTAACCAATAGCGGGGGAAGATGCGATCGTTGGGGAATGGCCCATTCCCGCCATCTTCAGGCGATTCAGCCCAGGTCATGGTGCACGGCGCGCAAGGAGGTCGACGCTCTGAGCTGCGATCAAATCGGCCTCGGGGGACTCCCGTAGAGGGATGATTGTGACTTCGAACCTTCGTGAAGTGACAGCGATCTGACAGTGCGTCGGGTGGAGGCGACTGCTTAAAGATCTCAACCTTGTGATGGTGATCGGATGCGGCGTGCGTGCACTCTGTGACTGACTTGAGAGTCTTGAGTGGAATGACGCAAGGAAGGGACCGGAAGGCTCGATGCACTGCTGGCCTCGAAGGAGCGAAGTGAGCAGATGTGGGTAGCGCTTGAGGGATCTTTTCAGCACCAAGTCATCGATCCAAGCTTCATCGCGAGGTTGCCATCGCACGATGTAGGATCTCGAGGATGCTGACCATCAGCACCGTGCTTCCGCTCAGGAGCGCGCATCAGCATCCCTTTCTCCTGCTCTCCCTCCACAAGCACGTGACTCTTCCACGACTCAAACGCAAATCGCACGTGACTTTCAACCTCGAGTGCTGCCTACTCGGAAAAGTACGGGCACCGCGGAACGACCGAGACGGCGCCGCGTTAATTGCTCCTCCTCCCTTGTAATTCGTGAAGCGCGGGCACGCGGTCGATCGCGTTACCCGTGCGCGTGGGCTTACAAGCATAATAATACATATAATCACGAGTATATAGTTGCTGTTCTAAAAGTCACCGTGCTTCATGAATGGATCGCAAGAGCCGAGGGCCCGGCGGGCGTCCGCGGACGCTAACGCGATGAGCGGAGTGGCTTGCCCGACGCGCGCCTGCATGCATGCATATAGCAACATGATAATCCGTACGCACAAGCAATTCAATAAGAAATCTCCTCGCGCTCAATTCGTGATTTGATCCACGACACAGGCTATGCGCAGAAGTGTGAGTGATAGATGTGAGGTGTGCGCGCCGCAACGTGAACGACATTCACATTCGCGGATGACCAGGAGAGAGCCACATTGAGGATACACTGCAAGGGAATGCGAGGAGATACTCACTTTGAAT